TATATGTTGTTGATTGCCTTCTAGTCGAGCACGACTCATGACTCGAGCGACCCTATGAACAAAAGGCCCGAAGCCTTTCTATAACTACTAACAATTATCAAAGTTCATAGAGTTTCTGGAGGCATGTTGTTTAGGAAGTGGATGCCACTCCTGCTTCCTGGTATATATGTGAGTAGAATTTTCACCATCCTTGTCTCTAAGGAGCACCCTGGCTGCATTTCCTCCATGAGAGATTTGTTTGTTCTTTGGCAGTCCATGGGATATTACTCAATATTCTTTATCAACACCATAATTCAAAAGAATCAATTCTTTTTTCTTACTAGTCTTTCTTATTCATTGTCCAGCTTTCAGATGCATAGGAAACAACTGAAAATCCATGGCTTGGATTAGGTATATCTTAGTCTTTAGACTGACATCTTTGCTCTTAAGCACTTTGGAGAGGTACTTGACATCAGTGTGTCCCTACTTCTGATTTCTTGATTGCTGCTACCTAGGTGTGGATTGTGGATCCAAGTAAAAAGCAAGCATTGATAGCGTCAATCTTTGAGCATCAATCAACCATTTTTTGGAACAGTGATTCTATTTTCATTTTATCTTCTTTTGACATTTCCCCTACATCATTCAATTATTTGCCCATAGAATCCTTCAGTGTTGCAACTCAAGGCTTGAATTTGTTCTTCAGTTCTTTCAGCTTGAGAAATGTGAAGCATGCTATTTCCTTTGGTCTTCTAACTTCAGCTCTTCTTTAAAACCTTGCTTTATCTTCTCTAGGTGCCCTTTGAAATCTTCTGTTCAGCAGTTCTTCCTTTTGTTATGGCCTCTCTATGTTCTAGTGCAAGTTTTAGGCTCTTCTAACATCTATTTTGGTATTTTCTGTCTTTGTAATGACCTTTTTCAGAACTTGTGGTTGTTTGTTGTTAAGTGCCATTGAGTCATAGACAACTCATAGCGACACTATGAACAAAAGACCTGAACACTTGTAGAACTTTCATCATTTCTCTGTTAGGCTAAAAATCAATATGGAAGTTGAAGCTCAACTCAAAAATCCCATGTCAGGACATTTCCTGAAAACAGAAAATCCTATGTCAGGACATTTTCTGAAAACAGAACTCAGAAATCCTATGTCAGGACATTCCCCAGAACCAGTTTCCCAAGACCAGAAACTTTATGCCCCAATGAACCACTGCAATGACCCTATATAAACCCCCTGAGACCAACACCCACTGCTACTCCCCTTGCTGAGTAGCCTGGCACGCAACAAACTCTGAGAAATGTTTTTACCTTGGCATGGTTCTTGGCCTCAATCCTAAACCTTTCATTCTCCAAGTTCATAGTTTCTGGAGGCAAGCTATTTAGGAAGTAGATGCCACTCATGCTTCCAAGCTTGTTTTAATTGGGGAGCTCCATCAAACACTGTCCACCATGGGTAACCGTCATCACATTTGACACATTAGTGTCACAGTGTTCAGCATCACAGCAACCATAGCAAATGGACAGACCACTTAGAAGAATGTTTGACTAAAAAGAGTTAAAACCGGGCCTGAGGGCCACTGATTAAAATCACCCTTCTTTGGCTTGGTAGCATAACTTTCTATCTTTTCAGACCTGTTGTTTTTGTTAAGTGTTGTTGAGTTGTAGGTGACTCATAGAGACCCTATGAACGAAAGTCCTCAATACTTGTGTGACTTTCATCCTTTTTCCAGGTTCATAGAGTTTCCAGAAGTAAGCTGTTATGGAAGTGGGTGCCACTCCTGCTTCCAAGCTTGTTTTAACCAGGGAGCTCCACCAAACACTGTCCACCATGGGTAGCCATTAATGCATTTGACACATCAGTGTCACAATGCTCAGCTTCACAGCAACCACAAGTTACTTCTGTATGGCTAGTGGACACACCAGGGCTATACCACCTAGAAGAATGTTTGAACAAAAACAATGAAAAACAGGCCTGAGGGCCGTGGGTTAGAAGTCACCTACCTTTGGCTTGGTAGCATCATTTTCTCTCCACTAGGCCAACTGATCTCTCTCTATGTTGGTGTTATTGTTAAATGCCGTGGAGTTGTAGGTGACTCATAGCAACTCTATGGAGGGGCCTCTGGCTTTGGAAAGAGAGGCCAGGAAGGAACACTCAGGTGCTTGTAGCTTTCTTTTTGCCACAAGTGGGTGTCAGCAGAGTGGACTTGCCAGATGAACTGGGGGTCTCTGGCCCAGAGGTATTTTGGGAGCCATCTTCACTGTTTTCTATTATTAATCTGGATTATATCCTTTTGTTGTTGTTAAGCGTTGTCGAGTCGCAGGCGACTCACAGCGACCCTATGAAGGAGAGTCCTCGACGCTTGGGTGCCTTTCATCCTCTCTCCAGGTTCATAGGGTTCCTGGAGGCAAGCTATTATGGAAGTGGATGCCACTCCTCCTTCCACACCTGTTTAATTGGGGAGCTCCACCCCACTCTCAGTCCGCACTGGGTAGCCAACCATTAACGCATTTGACACATCCGTGTCACAGTGTTCAGCCTCCCAGCAACCACAAGTGACCGCAGGATGGCAACTTGTACACCAGGGCTATACAACCTAGAGGAATGTCTCAACAAAAACAATGAAAGACTGGCCGGAGGGCCTCAAACTAAAAGTCTCCCACCTTTGTCTTGGTCACATCGTTTTCTCTTCACTGGGCCAGCTGATCTCTCTCTCTTTCTCTCTCTGTTGATGTTATTGGGAGCTCTGGTGGCATAGTGGCAAGAAGCTGCACTGCAACCCCAGAGGTGTGCGGTTCAAATCCACCAGATGTTGTACTGAAGAAGGAAAGACAAGCTCCTCCAGTACCAGTCAGATCCAATTTGACGGTACACACACACACACACACACACACACACACACACACACCCTTTTGACTTCCCCGATATGGTTCTGTGCGGTCTGTGGTTTTTGAGCTAGTGCATCAGATTTTGAAACTAGTAAAGAAGTAAGATTGGTGTTAAGATGAATAGAAAGAGGTATGGGAGGATGTGAGACACGTCTGACCACATAGGAGTTGATTTTATGCTACTGATGCTTCACAATGGTAATTTTCAGACCCAGCATAGTGAAATAACAGAGTCCAGAAAGGTGGAGCAGGAGGACAACTGGGTAGGAAATAGGTTCAACTTTACCTGAGAAGTTCTGTATGAGAAGCCAATACTAAATATTTCTAATAAACCAATGCTATTTCAGAATGGAATTCACCCTGAGACCCTGAGGCACCAAGGCAATCCTTAAGGGTTTATCTGAGATTCTTGCATTATATTTGCTGAATCACTCCTGAGTCAAGGGGAAGGTTTTCAATAGAAAGATGTTGGCTTCATTTGCATTGAATTCTCTGTGATTTACTTCCTGATAATTTTCAATAAAGATACAGGATGAAACTGTTGGCCCTCAGTCTTTACACTGTTTTATCTCATTCTTGGTTGTATGTCTCATTATTAAAAATACTTTACCTTCGGTCTGTAGGTCTGCAACATTTCTGTCTGCCCGGCACTGGGCTAAGTTGGGAGTGGAAGCCCTGCTCAGGCCCTGTAAACAGCCCTATAAAGGAGGCCCAGGCAAGATAATCAAGCCTAGAGGATGATGAGAGTGCGCTGAGGAGGCAAAGCAAAGCACTTACTGTGGAAGCCCTTGTGTGGATGAATTAGTGGAGAGAGACAGAGAGGAGCTGGGGAGATTCCTAGTGTTTTTTTTTCTTTTAAATTTTCTGCTAGTTTAAAAGATGAATTGCATTGGGAAAGTCTGCTGTCAGAGACCTCTCCAAAGTACTGATGAGCAAGGATGTCAGTCTGGAGACTAAGGTGCGCCTGACATAGGTCATGGTCTTTGCAATCACTTGCTATGCATCAGAGATGCTGAACAATGACTAGGGATGATATAAGGAGAATTGATGCCTTTGAGCTATGGTGCTGGAGAAGAGTATTGAATATACCATGGACTGCTAGGACAACAAACAAGTTCGTTCTGGAGAGGGTGAGGCCAGGCTGCTCTAGGAGGCAAGGATTCTGAAGCTTTGTCTGACATACTTTGGACATGTTGCAATGCCTGACAGCACAGGAGAATAAGACCCTTGATGAAATAGATTGATTCAGTCACTGGGGTAATGGGGATAGGTGTGTCAGAGACAATAAGATTGGCAAGGAATAGAGCAGGCTTTAGGGCTGTTGTGCATAGGGTCACTATGAGTCGCAGGCAACTCGACAGCACATAGCAACAACAAACTAGTTTACTTACAAACGTGAGAGGAATGGTCGCTTCCTATGATCCAATGACTTTGGTCAAGGGTTTGAGGTGTTATGAAGGTCAGTCAATGGGTGGCCAGCTCTGTGTTTAGGAGGGTTCAGCAGCCTCTTAAGGCCCAAGGAGGCTGCCCCATTCCCTATAACCTCTGAGCCTGTGACATCCATTTTCCAGGCCCACTGTTGCTGCTGCTAGTCACTATCTGGTTGATTTTCACTCATGGGGACCCAATATGTGCATAGAATAAAAAAAATGTGAACTGCTCCACAGGGTTTCCGAAGCAACTCTCTGAAAGGTTGGTGATTGGAACCCCTCCCTCCTGGCTGCTCTGCAAGAGAGAGGCCTGGCAATCTGCTCCTGTAAAGATGAACTCACTAGGTTCAAGTTGATTCTAATTCATAGGGCCCCATAGGACAAAGTAGAACTACGTCACAATTTTCATGGCTGTAATCTTGAGAAAACTGATTGTCACATCTTTCTGCTAAAGAGCAAGCCGGTGGGTTCAAACCACTAACCTTCTAGTTAGCAGCCAAACATTTTAATCATTGCACTGGACAGATCCACTCTGTCATGTGGGATCACTGCCACTCAGCAATCAACTCTCCTGCCCAAAGGGGCGGGACACGGCGTCACTGTCCAGACCCCTCCCACTTGGAGTGGGTTGCACACCTTCAGGCCCTGCCTCTCTCCTCACCTCTGCATACCTTGGAGCCACTGACAGCCTTTCTTCCTTCAGAGACAGTCATGACCTGGAAGATGACACAGCTGCTGCTGCTTCTGGTGTTGTTGACCCCTGAATGGACTGCCCAGCTCAGGACTTCGCAGACTAGGACTGAACTTCTTAATGTCTGTATGAACGCCAAGCACCACAAGGAAAAGCCGGGCCCTGAGGACAAGCTGCATGACCAGGTGGGCTGATAGGTCTCTGGGCGTAAGGAGGAAATGAAATGATTCACGAAGAGGAAGTTGGGACACTGAAGCATGTAGAGTCCCAGTGTGGTCTTTCTGGTGGGGAGAAAGGCGGCGGCAGGGAGGCTTGTGTGAGGGGACCACCAGTTAGCCCTAATGGGGGTCATTATGGGTTGAACAAGGAGCTCGCTGCTGTGGTACTGATGAAAAAGGTCGGGTGTTTGGATTCATCAGCTAGTCTGGGTGATCTCCTCCCATATAGTTTTACAGCCTCTGAAACCTGATGGAGGAGGCTCAGGTCTCCATGATTAGGAGACCATTCAGAGGCAGTGAGATGTTGGGTTATATGTTGAACAGAAGCAGCCCTGATGGTGTAATGGCTAAGTACTCATTTGCTAACAGAAAGGTTAGCAGTTCCAACCCACCCCATGGCTCTCCAAAAAAAAAAAAATGTCCTGGCAATTATTACATCCACGTCTCCCTGAAGATTCCACCCAAGGATACTCCCCTCTGAAACAGTTCTACTTTGGCATATGGGGTCATCAATGGGTCAAGACTTGAAAGAACCAAACAGCAACATGTGCTGAAAAGACATTGTACCAGGTGTTTTCCGTCTTCTGCCAGCAGCTCTCCACTCGGGGACTAGGTCCTGGCCTTGGGAATCCTGTCCAGAGTTTTGTATTCTGATACTTGTTAGGTTTTCACACTGGACATAAGGCCAAGGACTCAAGGAAGGGACGAGAGAAAGAAAGAAAGCTAAAGAAGTTTTATTAAGGGGACTCCCAGGCAGGATTCCTTGGTCTAGAGGGACAGACAGACCAGAGGAAAACTGCGCCCTAAGGTGGATCAGGGCAGGTATTTTTATAGTAAGGGTCTGGCTGGCTTTCTAGGGAAAGGTTGGGGGGGGGGGCGCTCCATGGTAGTTTAGTCATATGGGCAAGGCTGTTCACTCCCTTTGTTGATATGTTGATATTGTTGACATGTTGACATTCCTTGAATCCTTTGTTCTCCCTTTGACTTTGGTCCAGTCCTGACAATACAAGTCAGAACAGACCTGAGAATGAAAATAGCAAGCCTATATGGGTCAGACTAGGTCTCTAGGTCTTTACAGAAACTGGCTGCCACACCTTCCTGCCTTGGAAGCAGCTGGTAGGTTCATACTGCTGAAGTTTTAGTCAGCAGCCAAGTGTTTAATCTCTGTGCTACCTGGGCTCCTTACAGACTTGATGGGAACTAATTTTGATTGTCTTCTGAATAGTTCCAAGTATAAAAACATTCAATATGTACTTGTTAAATGAAAAAATCACAGCTTTGTTTAGTAAGAATTTAACATAAAACCAGAATATTAAAATTCACACATTAAAAACAGAGAGAGACTACTCAAGGTATTAAAGTTACACCACCACTTGTCAGCCTGTATTTGCATCTGTGGGTTCAGTAATTCAAATGGAGCAGCTAGGAGATGGTGGGAATATCTGTAACAAGGACCATTCACACTGAAGTGACATTCCTTTTGCTGTTTCCTTACAGTTATGGTGTCATGGTGACTTAAAAAAAGTCATGTTTATGGATAAGTTTGTGTTACTTAAGGCTATTGCAAAAGAATTGTTGAAGGAGACCTCGGGATAATAAGCTCGGGAGCTCCAGGGTAAAGGCATTGTTTTTAGGTGCAGGACAGCCAGATTCCAGGGGCTAGAAACCATAGTGCAGACAAAGGACAAGGAAAGAAAGATATCGTGATTCATACACTTTTCTTCTGTATTTTTTTAAAAAGTTTTAACAAACAAGCATTTGTCTGTAATAAAACAAACAGGGAATGGGGAAAAAGCAATAACTTAGAAAATATGCAAGGGGTCAGCAAAAGCATACCTTAATGAGATGAAATGACATAGTGGCTGAACAACAGGCTCAAACGGCAGTAATTGTGAGGAAGACACTAGGTGGGGCAGTGTTTAGTTCTGTTGTATAAGGTGGAACTATGAACTCAGGCGTCAGAGGACAATATACACAACAGGGTTCTGAAAGACTGTGACCTTTCAGAAGCAGATTGCTAGGTCCTTCTCATGAGACACTTCTCAGGGGGCTCGCACCACTAACATTTTAGTTATTAGCCCAGTGCCTAATTGTTTACACCACACAGGGATACAATTTATTTCACAAATATCCTTCCTCATCTCCATCGTCTCTCAGTGAGGCTTCATGTGATCACTTTATAAAACTATGGTCTCTCTTCCTTTCTCTTATGTGATAAAGGTTCAAAAGTGTCTGAGTAAGAGGAAATAAAAGATGAACACAAATTTGAATTGATGAATTTTGTAATGGTTCCTGGGCTCCTATAGCCACTGAAAACCCCCTTCTCCGGCAGTCTCGACAGCAAATATTTCCACAGACAGCTTTGACAGTGTTGGGGAAGCAAAGACTCTATGGGGAGAGACTGTGGAAGGGAATATCCTGGCTGCTGTGAGCCTGAGAGTTAGTCTCTGTGTCTTTCCCACACAGTGCAGCCCCTGGAAGAAGAACTCCTGCTGCTCCACCAACACCAGCCACGAAGCCCACAAAGATATTTCCTACCTGTACAATTTCAACTGGGACCACTGTGGAAAGATGAGCCCTGCCTGCAAGAGGCACTTCATCCAAGACACCTGCTTCTATGAGTGCTCCCCCAACTTGGGGCCCTGGATCCAACAGGTATCAAACTCTCTGGATATCTCTGCAGGCTGCAACCTCGCCCTCCTTCTAGCTTCAGTCTCATCCAAATCTGAGATTTCTGAGCTGAACCTTCTCTCCTAATGTCTTCAGGTGGACCAGAGCTGGCGCAAAGAGCGGATCCTGGATGTGCCCCTGTGCAAAGAGGACTGTCAGGTCTGGTGGGAGGACTGCCGCACCTCCTATACCTGCAAGACCAACTGGCACAAGGGCTGGAATTGGACCTCAGGTGACGACTGATGGGGAGCTTGGAATGAAGGTGGAAGTGGAGGGGTATGGAACTGGTGGAGGTGGTAGGAGAGGGAGCTGGTGGAGTCAGAGGTAATTCCGGACCATGAGTGACTGAACGTCATTCATTCTCCCTACAGGGTTCAACGAGTGTCCAACCAAAGCTGCCTGCCACCGCTTCGATTTCTATTTCCCCACACCTGCTGCGATGTGCGAAGAAATCTGGAGCCACTCTTACAAGGTTAGCAACTACAGTCGAGGGAGTGGCCGATGCATGCAGCTGTGGTTCGACCCATTCCAAGGCAACCCCAACGAGAAGGTGGCAGAGTTCTATGCTGAGGCCATGAGTGCGGCTGGGCCCAGTCGGGCTTCTGTGCTCCTGCTCAGCCAGGCCTTGCTGCTTTGGCTGCTCAGTTCATCTCCTTCTATCTCTTGATACCTGAACATCGCAACCTTCTTTGACCCAGTGCTCCATGAAAGGGCCCTTTGAAAGCCAGCTTAAATAAATAGATACCCTACATGCTTGTGTCCTGAAAATTATTAGGGGATGACTGGGGATGCTACTGTTTTGCTTCCCAAAGTAGGTGAGACAAAAATCTCACCACCCTAACTTCTAAGGAATGGTCTGGCTGGACTTCTTCCAGAGATTTCTTTGTTCTTTTGGCAGTCTATGCTACATTCAATACTCCTCCCCAGTATTACATTTAATGGAGGAGAGACTGAGATTGTTAACAATTTTAGCTTATGTGGTTCCACAATCAACATTCTTGGCACCAGCAGTCAGAAAATAAAAAGGTGGATTGGAAAAAAATACCACAACACAACAAAACGGTGAACTGCATTGGAAAATCTGCTGTCAGAGATCTCTCCAGAGTACTGAAGAGCAATGATATCAGTCTAGACTAAGGTGTACCTGACCCAGGCCATAGTCTTTGCAATAACTTGCTTTGTATTAGAGAGCTGGGCAATTTCCAAAGATGACAGAAGAAGAATTTATGCCTTTGAGTCGTGGTGTTGGAGAAAAGTATTGAACATATCATTGACTACTAAGAGAACAAACAGGTCTGTATTAGAGGGGATGAAACCAGGTTGCTTTATGGAGGCAAGGGTTTTGAAATTCTATCTCACATACTTTGGGAATGTTGCCAGGAGAGACCAGACCTTGGAGGAGGACATCATGTTTGGAAATATGGAAGGTCAATACAAGAATGGAAAACCCAGGGTGAGATGGACTGACACTGGGGAAGTGGGTACAGGAGTGTCAGAGACAGTGAGAATAGCTCAGGATAGGGCGAGGTTGAGAGCTATCATGCATAGGGTTGCTATGAGTCACAGCTGACTCCACATCACATAACAATAACAACAATATCACAATTTAAGGACATCAGTTCTTTGGTCTTCCTTACTCATGGTTCAACTTTAAAATGCATATGAAGTGACAGATTGAATTATACTTCCCCCAAAATACATGACAAGACAGTGGAGAAGCTCAATATCAGCAGTCAAAACAAGGCCAGGGGATTACTATGGACTAGATTATCAATTACTCATGTGCAAGTTCAAATTGAAGCTAAAGACAATAAGTCAATGAGAGCCAAAATATGACCTTGAATTTATCCCGCCTGAATTTAGAAACCACTTCAAGAATAGATTTGATAAATTGAACACTAATAAGTAAAGACAAGGTAAAGTGTAGGATGACATCAAGGACATCATCTATGAAAAAAGTCATTAGTAAGATGACAGGAAAGAAAAAGACCAAAATGGATATCAGAAGAGACTCTGAAACTTTCTCTTGAACAGAGAAGCTAAAGCAAAGACAGAAATGATGGAATAAGAGAGCTGAGCAGAAAATTTCCAGGGAGAGCAGCTTGAGAAGAGAAAGCAAAATTATTCTAAGAACATGCATAAAGATTTGGAATAGCATCTTTGACATTTCTCAAACTGAAAGAGCTGAAAAACAAATCATGTTGCAACGAAGGATTCTATGGGTATAATCTTGAATGATTCAGGAAGCATTAGAAGATGGAAGGAATATTCAGAGTCACTGCACCAAAAACCTATTGACTGTGGCCGAGATGGTGAGGTTGGTTCAGGTTCAGAGCCGTTGTTCAGAAGATCACCATGACACATAGTTGACTTGATGGCACATAACAACAACAACATGCAGCAGCATTTGAGTTGTTATGTGCCATAGAGTCAAAATCTACTCACAGCTGATCCTCCAGTAGGTTTTCAGAGGTTGTAAATTGCATGGGGAGAGATTTCCCATCTTTTGCCACAGAGTAGCTAGCTAGATTCGAACCACTTGCCTTTGGGTCTGCAGCATAATTCCTTGCCCACTAGGCCACCAGAGCTCTTTATTTGACTATGTGGATCAAAATAAATTGCAAATTACATTGAGAAGAACAAAACATGTTGCACTGGGCAAATCTGTTGTCAAGGGCCTCTTTAAAGTGCTAAAGAGCCAAGGATGTTAGTCTAAAGAGTAATGTTTACTTGACCCAAGCCATAGTATTTTCAGTTGCTTCATATGCATGTGAAGGTTGGATAATGAATGAATGAAGAAAACAGAAGAAGTGATGCCTTTGAATCGTGGTGTTGGCAAAGAGTAATGAATATACTATGAACTGTCAAAAGAACAAACATCTGTCTTGGATAAAGTGCAATTAGGGTGCTCCTTAAAGATAAGAATAGTGAAACTTTGTCTCATATATTTTGGGCCTGTAGTCAGGAGGTACCAGACCTTGGGAGAAGGCTGAGACAAGTAGGGTCAGCAAAAGAGAGGAAGACCCTCTATGAGAAAGACTGATACAATGACTGCATTAAAGGACTTGAACATGATGGAGATTGTTAGGATGACATAGGATAGGGCGAGATTCAGACCTGTTGTTCATAGGGTCCTTATGAGTCAGTCCTAGAGGGTCCTATGGTCAAGTTGGCAGCATCTAACAACAACAAAATACATGTATATAGTAGTATAATGTGGAAGCTGTGTCATGATCCAGATAGACTAACTGTAGGAGGAATAAGGAGGAAAGCAACATTCCTTTCATCACAACCTTAATTGGAGTTAAGAGGAGTCCACCTGCAGTATGGCCAGGAATACTTTTTCATTCACCAAAAAGCAGCAAGTGGAAAAAGCAGGGCTCTTAGTACAATTGAGAAATAATCTCCAAGTGTAGAGGGTGCCTTTTTAGACCTGGGACCCTGCACACCAAAACTCCTTGGTGCGGGGGAAGGTCAGAACACATGGAAGGCTCCAAGGAAACACTGGACAACAGATGCTGAAGGAAACAGAGACTTACTTCTACAATAAACACACAGAAAGGGTCTTCTCCTAGAGCGTGTGGTCTGAACTTGGATGTCTAGCCTCAACCTGTAAGAGAATAAATGCCTGTTTTAAAGCCATCCACTTGTGATATTTCTGTTAGAGCAACATTAGATAACGAAGAATTGTACCACTGAAGTACTCTAACAGATACCTGAAATGTGAATGAAGTTTTGGATTGGATAACAAGCACAGTCTGGATGAGTTTTAGAATACTGTGATTTTTAAAGCCTAGCTGGCCTTGAAGAGACGGCTAGTATAATGGATGTTAAAGATAGTTCTGGTGAAGGTTCAGAGGAAGAATTTTAAGACTGGAGATAGCACAGATAATGAGAAGTAGCAACAGAGAAATGACAGTAGCAGAACCAGAAGATCTGTACATAATTGGAGACTGACACAGATGGCTTTGAGGCCTATCCATGGAACCAGCTGAATGCTTTCATGCAAAATCAACAGGAATGAAAAATCTCAACTCATTGCTATTGAGTTATGACCATCTCATAGCTGACTCTCCAGCAGGTTTTCAGAGGCTATAAAATTGCCCATCTTCCTCTTGCAGAATAGCTGGTGGATTTGAACTGCCCACTTTTAGGTTGGCAGTGCAACTACCTAACCACTAGGCCACTAGAGTTTCCTAATAGAAAACTAACATCTTACAATACTAGCCCTGTGCTGTTGTTGCCTAGTGAATCTGTGACTATGACGCACAGCAACCCTATGAACAACAGATCAGAACCTTGGCCTACCCTGTGCCATCATTACAATCTGTGCTGTTGTTGTTAGCCATGACTCATAGTGACCCCATGAACAACAGATCTGACCCCTATCCTCTTCTGTGCCATCCTCATCATCTCTGACACACTTGAGCCCGTTGCTGCAGTCACTGTGTCAATCCATCTCATTGAGGGTGTTCCTTTCTTTTGCTGATCTTCTACCTTTCCTAGAATTATGTCCCTTTCCAAGGAATAGCCCTTCCCAACAACACACTTCTAATGTAGAGCTTATTTTAATATCTTAATGGACAAAAGGGACTTTACCTTAGTCTAACAGGATTATCAAATTAAAACCATTTTGTTGCCCTTTCCCATCTGTTTCTGTAATCTATGGTTAGGAGTTACTCCCCTTGAGCCACAACATGTGAACAGCACCAGCTATCTCTAGAATATTGATAAAACCAGGCCACGGGCACTGACCAGAACGCCTCAAACAAAGCAGACACTGTGAACATTTCTCACACTCTCCTGTCCTGTCCCTCCCCTAAATAACCCCACGTTCTCCATGCCATTGGGACAGACTTGGGAAGCTCATAACTTTTATCTCATATATGCCAATTTACAGTAGAACTTCTGCTTTTGCCATTCTAGTGCATCTTCAAGATTGTTTCTGCAGTGTTGGGTGGCAGAGCCAAGTCTTTGCAGTAACAGCTTCCTGGCAGAATAGGGTGCATTTCAACAGTTGAAGGTGGAGCTGGGCTTGCCACTCCAAGGAGTTAGAGAGCTGGCTGCTTTGGGGCCTAAATTTACTGGTTGAGTGGAAGGTCTTTGAGCATTTATTGGTAGACCTGAAAGGCTTTGTGACATGTGCTGGAGCAGAACAGAGGCCAGGCAGCTTCTTCAAGAGACCAACAAGTACAGGAAGCAGAGTTGCCTCAGTCTCGAAGGGTAAGGTCACATTAATGGGGTATCAAAATATGGATCCACAACTTCTGGGATTTCTGAGGGAGGGTGGTGGTGTCACAGTTTGCTAGCTTACAAAATCAGCTCTTTGTCAACTGTTCTGCAGCACTGGGCTGCCCTTAAAATGAAGCTGCTGCTTGAAGATGGGGTGGCTGGACTGCCCTGTCTAAGGGGACAGAAGAAGGGGATCTTTGGAGACCAAGGAGATAGAGACACCACTCAGTTATACTAGGAAAATGGGGTCACCCAAATCAAGAGAACAGAGTTGCTCTCTGGTTGAACCTAGAAGGCAGAGCTGATGCCCAAGAGCCAGGGGATCTTCATCCAAAGCACAGATAACATCCAGAGACTTGAAGGCAGAGCCACAGTCTAGAAGGCTTGGAGATTAGAGGATTATTTTAAACCTTGAGGGCTAATGTAAATGTAATG